AAACCAGGTTTTACATATGTGTGATATAAAAACATGGCACTTTATAGTAGATAAAAGTATAGGTAACATAAAAACAAGGTCTCCCATATGTGTGATATAAAAACATGGCACTTTATAGTAGATAAAAGTATAGGTAACATAAAAACCAGGTCTTACATATGTGTGATATAAAAACATGGCACTTTATAGTAGATAAAAGTATACGTAACATAAAAACCAGGTCTTACATATGTGTGATATAAAAACATGGCACTTTATAGTAGATAAAAGTATAGGTAACACAAAAACGTGTTCTTGAATCGTGAACAAGGATATTGGTTTGTTTGTAATTAAGCACAAAGCCACATCACGGGCATCGAAACCCGGTTTCTAGAGTTGTGAGTCCGAAGACATGCTGCTGTGCCATTGGGTGGGGGAGCGCAAAAATATTGGTAGCAAAGGAAAATAACGATATTTTGTAACCAAAGATATCAGTAACATTGTAACCAGATATATAGGTAATATAAAAACGCAGTTCTACAATGTAAATATAAATATAGTTAACATAAAAATTTGGTCTTGCATTGTGAACAAAATATAGGTAGCGAAAAACAACAACAACAAAGAAACCCGATAATGTGTTGTAATGAAATAAGTATCACAAAAACATGGTTCTGCATTGTGAACAAAAATATAGGTAGCGAAAAACAACAACAACAACAAAGAAACCCGATAATGTGTTATAATGAAATAAGTATAAAAAAACATGGTTCTGCATTGTGAACAAAAATATAGGTAGCGAAAAACAACAACAACAAAGAAACCCGATAATGTGTTATAATGAAATAAGTATCACAAAAACATGGTTCTGCATTGTGAACAAAAATATAGGTAGCGAAAAACAACAACAACAAAGATACCCGATAATGTGTTGTAATGAGATAAGTATCAGAAAAACATGGTTCAACATTGTAACAGAAAAACTCAGTTTTTACACTGTAAAGTAAAATGTAAGAAACATCGCCACTGATGTGTATCATAACTAGAGTAATAAGCAAAAATAACAACTTTTACATTAGTTGTGACCAGATATTTAGATTGTTTGTTTTAGAACAAAGTCACACTGGGCTATTTGTTGGGTCCACCGCATGGAATCGAATTCCGGATTTTAGCGTTGTAAAATCAGTAAACTTACCGCTGTCCCACCGGGGGAGGGGACAGATATTCAGATAAAACCAAAATAAGCATGATTTATTCTAAGTTATATATGTTAAATTTTAAACTGATACATACTGCTACGCATAAATTGAAACACACATATAACATAAAATATGAAACTTCTATAGCCCAAAAAATGCTTGAAGGTAAAAAACGATTCACTTTAATATATAAAACAATTATTTTAAAATCATTTTTGAAGATTTTTTTATCTTTTATGGTTTATATAATAATATTCTGTTTGAGTATAAAATAGGATTTCTATTAAATTAAAACACATTAGCTGTCGTTTTTGCGGTATTATTGTTAGCATTGTAACGAAGAGGGAACATTCGTATAACTTCATCCCGAAAAATGTGCTGTTGTAAGACAGAAGTCGTCAGTTATATAGCAGAAATGTCGGTTTTAATTCACACCGAAAACGACGTCCCGACAGTTATGTGTTTAGTCTGCGCGCGCAGCAGGAACAAATATACGACAGTATTATTGCAGGGTAGCTTGAAAGTTGGGGACCGATTAGTAGTTGCCGTAACTGAAGAGCAGATGTCTAGGCGCAACAACTGAACTCTCACGTGTACCACAAGAGACAGTTAGGATGAAGCGACATGTCAGAGCTACATCATTAATGTTTTATTTCTGATTATTCTGCAGACAGCAGTGACACCAAAATTCATGATTTTATAAACAGCCAACTGAAAGTGTTCGAAATGGATCCCAGTAATTATGTGAATGCCACTAACATTTCCAATGTTATTCAGGAATTAGAAGCTTTGGGACCTGATTTACAAGTATTTCTCATCATTCTGTATTCTTTAACGGCAGTGCTAGCTTTAGGAGGTAACTTAACGGTAATCCTTGTTTTGATTTTCGGAAAAAAATCTTCTCGAGATCTCCGGGTCTTTCTCATCAATTTAGCTGCTTCTGACATCACTATGGCGACTTTTTCTATCCCGTTTACTTACACAGACTTCATGCTCGGGCGCTGGATCTTCGAGCCGTTCTTTTGTCCAATCGTGATGTTTATGCAGCATTGTTCAGTTATTGTCAGCGTTTATACGTTAACAATCATTGGTTTAGACAGGTTAGTATAATTTTGCTTTTTTTTTGTTACCAGCAGAAATTAAGTTGTGTTTTAAGAGAAAATTTTCATCAAGTATTTTCAGTGAGGGATGCTGATATTTTCAATAGATGTTTAAAAAAAAAACCAATCATTTGATTATGTTTTGACTGCTAAATTTGCAACTCATAAGAATAGTTTTAAGTTAAAATGATCTGGATTCGATTCCAAATCCAGAGGATTACTAGACTTTTCTAACATTTACTGGGCTAGGCAGTCGACTGACTAGAATTGAGTGATAGTTTTATTTCTGTTTTTTCTTTCTGCAATAGTAATAAATATTTGCTAGATTGTAACATAGATTGCTTAAAGGCCTAATTAGATTTGGAAAGCCTCTGATCTGTTGTTTTTTTCTAGTAAGGCAGATTTATATATTCTACTGAATTCCTTGTAATTAGAGAATAGTAACCAATAAGAAAATCTCGTTACTAAAGGTTGTTTTACCACCACTCAGCCATTCCATTACTTCAAACTCACAATAACGTACCTTTTGTTAACCAAAGTCTTTCAATGTGATTGGTTTCGAGGAAAGTTTTGAGACTTCTTATATTAATTCCACCTACTCAAAGTATATATATATCCAAAAATTCATGTCCTGAATGAATGAAATCCTTGCATGTTCAAGGAAAACTTCCTGGAAATTATTGATCTAAAATCCGAATTAAAATTATGAAATAGAACGTCGCCTACGTTTTAATGTGCTTCTTTTCATAACGTCCTGTTTTAAATATTTCTATGGTTTTAGTGTATACATTAGTACGCCTATGATTATTAATTTCAAATTACTTAGCCTGTAGCGGTCGATTATTAAACGAATTCTGCTTTAAATCTAAATGTGGAAAACACCAAGGAAATATTAAATACATATATTGTACCTCAATATCTTGATATTTAAAATTAGTCAGCTAGAAAACTCCTGGAAAAGCTATTAAGTCATATCAAGGTTGACGTCTTTTAACGTGTGAATTGAAAAGTGTTGAACAAAGTTAAAATTAAGTGTTATCTGCTGATTCTAATCGGTTCACACCACATTAGCCAGAATCAGCTTGGAGGATTTTAATAAATTTACAACATATTGATCAGAAACGGCTTGGAAGACATTAATAAATTTGCTACATATTGATCAGAAATTTGATCACGAGGAATTTAGTTTTTAGAAAATACAGTTTGGTGACGACTTGAAGTATCGTAAGAAAATGTACAAAGTTTCAACAAGGATTCGTCATCATATGTAATAAAGTTCCTTTCACTACCAGTTCAAGCCATCCCCAACGTTGTTTACAACTCATCAATCAGAATCAGACTGGTATAAAGCACGTTCAGATTCAGCTTGGAGAAATTTAATCAGCTTAGTCAAAGTTACAAGAAATGTATGTCATGGGGATTTCTTCGTTGTTAGCATAGGTTCTTTAAAAACTATGTTACGAACTCCTTAACCGAAAAACAGATAACTGAAACGAACGTGCTACGCTGCTTTTATATTGATACCATAATTCGTGACGAATCGCTACAAAATGTGTTCAGTTAGAGTAAACAAAAAGGCTCTTGTAGTTACGACATCTAAAATTTTTTGGTGAAACGTTATCAACCATGTCATGAAACTATGAATCTTCGATTTCAAATGTTGACCGTGGAGTGTTTTCTCAACATGTAAACCTTAACATCACTAACCGCTGCCTTTAACCTTTCAAACTGAACTCTAGATAGTGTCAGTAGTTGTGCAACAAATTCAGTACACTAGGCTTCAGATGTGTTCTTTTACGCGCAAAGAGGCAACGAATTATTTACTCTACATAAGCTCGTTTACAGAGGGAATAAACAAAATAGTAGACCACGGAATGGCGTTGAAGTCTAGGAATGAAATATGTATATGTAAAAATCACGTGATTACAGTATGGTTTTGACGATCGTTGTCATGGTCAGTAGCCTATAAAAAGTCTGATGATTGATTAGTGTTGATTTTCTATAATTAACTTCTAATTATTAATTAGTTTGAATTCTAAGATAAGTCGGAACAATACCATATGGTGATAGGATATGAACTTCTAATTATTAATTAGTTTGTATACTAAGATAAGTCGGAACAATACCATATGGCGATAGGATATGAAGCTCAGATGAGAAAGAAAAGGTAAAATATTTTTTTACACCCACCTAACAGATAAAACACCCAGTCAGGCAAGAATAAAAGTTGACAAAACTTGAAAACTCCTCTTAAAAACATTGAAGTACTTGAGTGAAGATCTAGCAGAGACTCTCCAAAACTTCTACCAAAACAATCCAGGATTGAAACTTGGCCTCTGGAGACAGCGGCAGATTTAATAGTCGAAACATAGAATAAAAACTAGCGAACTGTTATCTCGTTATATATATATATATAAGTTTTGTGATCGTATAGTTAGGAAATAACTATGAACTAAATTGAAGACCAGTAAACGACAAAGTGACAACACAGAGGCATGCTAAGACTCTGTTGTGTTCTTATTGCTTGTTTGTATTTAAATGTTTGTGGTTCCCCCGCCCCTCCTCCAAAGGGCAACTTCTTGCAAGTCAGACGAAACCTTAACATGGTTATCTAAGTACGACAGGTTTTATATATATGACACTTGTCTATTTAGAAACTAGCGTAATTAAAAGCCAAATAAATTAATTACAAGTTATGTCATTGAACTGTACTTACAACTACTTTGAAACCCCGATCTTTGAAATGGTTCGAAAATATAAAAACAACAACTAAATCCCACGCCATAAGTTCACATGGTGTTCGTCAGCAACCACACTTCTTGTTTACGTATTACATTCGACTGTAGGCTTATATTTCACTGTATTAACAGCAATATCAAAAAGTCTAAAGTGATATGACTGATTTTGCTATGTACGTAAACGTGATAAAACTAGTTCTCATTTGCTAAATGAATAAGAATTAATATAAAACATGAAATTTAGCGGACACTGGCTCAGCGGTAAGTCATTGGGATTATAACGCAAAAAAAAATCTGGTTTCTATACCCGTCGAGGGCAGAGCACAGATAGCCCATTGTACAGATTTTTGCTTAACAATAAGCAAACAAAAACAAGATGTTTTTGTAAGTTGCTTTCTTACTGTCACTCTTGTAACGCACACGAGGCACCAAATAACGATTTTTATTTTTTTCTGGCAATAAGACACGGACAACTGAACTACAGAGAATCACATTCGATACTCTCAGCTCGGCCACCATTTTGTTCTTACATATAGTTTTTTTTTCAGTTATAAAAAAGAGAAAGAATTAAAGAATAAGCGATTAACTGACAATGAATAGCAAACAGCGAAACACACTATAATAAATAGACAGAAAAAATTCAAAACACCGAATTGCTACACTTTTAAACAATACTGATCAATTTAGTGTTTGTACTATAAATTATTATTTTTTTTTTTGGTTTTCTGATCTAAGATCCTACGGCTACGTAGACGAATCATTAGAAGAACATCCCCGACGGGATTAATCAATTACAGTCAGGGCCTTCTTTGAAATATCTACGTATCTAAGCAGAAATAATATATTTACCTAAAACTTCTTTTATTTGGAATAAGGGACGTTTTCAACTAGGCGGAAATAGCTGTCTTGAAGCTTCTTAGTTACGTATATACAAAAGTAGTATGTTAGGAAGATCCTATTCTTCACATGTCGGAAGCCATTTGTGGTTAGGTATTGGATAAAAATGCTTTAGCTTTTGGGATTTTCTCTGAACGTATTTATCAGCAAAGAACCAAATTGAATACCTCGATTGTGTTTAGAGAAGTTTCCAATTTCAAAATAGTAAATCTATGAGTTCAAAGTCCTAAAGAGGATTTCCTTAGAAGCATTGAAAAACGCAGCATCTGCCAGGAATAAGTATAATAGGCTTAGATACGAGCTTGTAAAGTCTATGGTTAATACTAAGGCAGAGTGTTTCAGCTACTTATATATGTAGCCTGGCATGGCCAGGTGGCTAGGGTGCTCGACCCGCAATCTGCGGGTCGCGGGTTCGAATCCCCGTCCCACCAAACGTGCTCACCCTTTCAGCCGTTGTGGCGTTATAAAGTTACGGTAAATCCCACTATTCGTTGGTAAAAGAGTAGCCCAAGATTTGGTGGTGATGATTAGCTGCATTCCCTCTAGTCAGTCACTGCTAAATTAGGGACGGCCAGCGCAGATAGCCTTTGTGTAGCTTTGCGCGAAATTCAAAACAAACCAAACGGTGAGTCTGACCATAAACGATGAAGCAATGGAGTGATGAAATTGTTGCTTATGTGAATTACTGGAATGAGGTTTTCTGTCATGAGGATCAATGTAGTCTGCAGACCTTCAATTGGATCAAAATTACCTAAAGTATAAAGTTAGATGAGATTTGTGCCTTTGTTTTAGACATTGGACTGTCTGCTGTGTCCACCGCGGGAAACTGATCTCTGGACTTTAACGTTGTAAGCTTGTGAACCTACCACTATCACACCGGGGGACATTAGATAAGTATGAAAGTTTCTAAAAAAATATAATAGTCTACCGTTAAAACTGATGCAACCTAATGAATCCCATTTTAATTTTTACAAAGAGAAAGTTGTATATAAATACGTCAAAATCCGCCAAATCTTTTCTAAGGTTGAAAATATGTCTAACAAACTATTTTAGATCTTACTAACGTAAAAAAAGATAAAAACAAAAACTAAAATATAATAAATGAACACGAAACTCAATTTGAAGTACATAATAAAAAAATGCTCAGGATCATCAACAATTTAAATCTGCTATTATATTCGATTTATTTTTTGTTTGTTTGGTTCAGAATTTTCCCACATTGCTTTAAAATCACTATCATTCCTAATTTTGAACTGATGGAATATGGGGAAAGCACCTACTTAATAGCACCCATTCTCATCGTGTCGGTTACTCTTATCTGACCGAACACTGAGTGTCATTGTAATAACGCACCCACTGCTCTAA